TGGGAAACCCTGGTCCTGAGAAGCTCCCAGCCCAATGCTCTGCCACAAGACAATGAGAGCTGCAAACAAAGAACCACACTGAAGCACAGCAGCAATGCGAGGGAAAAAAAAAAAAGAAAAAAAAAAAAAACAGAGGAAGAAATGCCTGAAAGATACATAGCTGGGATTCCTGAACCCCTCAGAGGTATTCGGGCTTAGCCAACAGGCTGGGTTTTTTTTTTTCAAGGCCATTAATTACACAACAGAGATGTATCTGCACCACTCCACCTCTCCACACTCAATAAGGGCCCCACATATGTTCCCTACGATGTATCACCATCTGTGTGCAGTGCCACCACCTGCACTGGGCACCTGGAAAAACAACCTGTTGGAGTGTGACACTTCCCTCTGGCTCTTGTGTCTGATTTTCTGAGGAGAAGTAAAGGGGCACTCCAAGTATGCACCTTTAAAGCATGTCTGAAATACGTGAGCTGAACTGGATGGGAGGGCAGGAGGTGGTGGCAGAGCTGGAAGGCTTCAGGGGGGCAAGGAGAAGATCTAAGGAGCTGTACCAAAGCAAAGTCTGCGCATGGGCAGCGTATGGACTTGCTCAAGAATAATTCCCTGTATTTGCACAGTGTTGTGAAGAGCCAACCTCATCTTCTGGTGCTTGGAAGAACCAGTTGTGCCTGCTGAAGCTCTTATTGGTCCTTTAAGGAGCTTGGACTTCTTCCTCTGTATGACATTCCTGTGAGCTTTCCATGGAAATGTTTTTTTTAAAAAAAGGGGGGATGACGACAGGAAATTGTGACGCGCTTAGCTGTTAATACAGGCACAGACCCACAGACCCATTCTCCTTCTGCTACTGTATTTGTTGAACATTTTTGACATGTATAATCAGACAAAACTTGGAATCTTCCAGGCTCCCTCCGCAAAAACAAAACAAAACAAAACCCCAACAAAACAGAGGAGAGGGGAAGCTTTCTTCCTTATCTACCCTATCCCACCCTTCTCAGAAATCCCTTTTCGGAGCCCACTTTGGCAGTTGGGGATGACCAAGACATGCTTTTCTTTCCACAGATGGTGGGGAGAGAGGAGACACATCCCTCTCTCCCTGGGACGGTCTGACCCTTTGGTGCTCCCAGCCCCCAGCCTCCTGGCTTTGGCCATGCTGCAAACAGTGCCTTGAGTTTTAAAAGATGCTACAGGAATACCAAGTCTGTCCAGTCTGCAGAAATGCAAGTTTGTCCTCCATATAAATAGGAGTGAAAACACCTGTGCTTTTAACTGCTGTCACAAATTCTTCAGGCACAATGCAATAATATACCTCTTTAGAACTTCAGTTTTGCAATGTTCAGCAGCATCCAGATCCTTTGTGTGCATCTGCCAGCAACCCTCGAGTCCAACGAGTGCCCCAAGGTATCAGCAGACCAGCGCAGGATTTGCTCCAAGAGTCCCTTTTCCCCTGAACATGCCAAAAAGATGACCCTGCCCATATAATAACCTAGCAGCAGACACAAGGAGACCTGAGCAGACCCTCTTGGCATCCACTCTTGTTTGCTCCTTGCTGACCACAGGCCCGAGGTGAATTATTTCTCCCACTCCGAGTTGTTTGACTTCAATTTCATGCAGGGACCTTACATATATCACATCCCCTGTCGCCAATGAATCTCTCCTGTTCAAACAGTTCCAGTTGCCCTGAGATCAATATATTTTAGCAGCACACAAGGACACCGTGTTATTGCCAATTTCCTGGGCTGTACAAAACAAAAGGTATCACTTTCTTAAAGCCATTGAAAAATGCTCTGGGCCAACTAAGATTACTTCTCTGCCATTAAATGGTTGCATTTAGGACTCATCCTGATCACTGTCTGTTCTGTCTTGTGATGACATTTTCTGCCAGTCTTCAAGGACAGGAGATGCCAACTCAGGAACCGTTCCCACCCTCCTGTGGTCTAATGTCAGTAGTGTAGTCTGATTTCTCCTAGTTGTCCTCATTGTTGACAAATGAGAATATGAGGTGTCTTACAAATAGGTACGTGCAATTCAAATGCCAAGAAATCCCCTTCCTGCTCATTGGGAAATAAACCAAATGAGCACCAATGGGTGCCTCGGTTGAGCTGGGATTAGGTGACTTTTCCCACCTCTGTCTGCAAGGTCTGGCCTGGCTCCAGCTTTCCTGTTCTTTCCTTCGTCCCTTGAGACCCTTGGCAAGGTGTAGGTGGCCACCCAGATCTGCCATCCAGACCCAGAATGCCACTGGGGGCTTTGCAGATGGGCATGCCCTGGACATCCATGGATTCAGATGGAATCCAGAAGCTTCCTACGATGCTGGGGTGGAAGCTTGTGCTTCTCTCTCCATCTCTGCCTTCTCTGGTGCAGGTCCAGCCATGCCCTCCTCGTCCTCCTGCCACTCAGGCCCTGTTGTCAGGCAATGCCATGGGCTGGAGTTTGGGGTGGAGGCAGCTATTGTTCCAGCTATCTGCAGTGTAATGTTCCTTATGACTGTATTAAATGAAGGGCGGAGGTCACACATCCCCAGTTTAAATTAGGTTTGGGCTGACCTTTAACAATATTACACTCGTGGATCCTCTCATAACTCACGGCATAAACTCCCTGAGGGTTTTACCACCTCCCTCTCTCCTTCCTACTGTAAGGATGCCCGAGGCTTAATGCGCTTCTCTCCTATTTCGCTTTGATTTCTAATCCCATCCCCTTCTCCTCCTTCGCCCCCCTAAATACAGATATATTCACTCCTTTAAAGGTGGGGGAAAGAACCTGTTCCTTTTCTCTTCTGGGCGACAGCTCTTTCTTTTGTGTCTCTTTCTTCCCTTCCCCGCCCCCCTCCTCTTTCTTGACACAATGCACTATTTATTTGCACTGAAGGATAACTAAGAAGCAATTAAAAGATCAAAAGGCACAAGCCCAAGTAGACCCAACTCGGCAACTTGTGGGGTGCATTTTGCTGCTGCCGCCGAAGCTGCACCGAAAGGCTGCCTTGTTTGTCCCCCCAGTCAGAGGGACACCTCTCCTATTGGGTCGCCGCTTCCTCAGAGCGGACTTTTATGATCGCTATTTTTCACCCCCATTGTTTGCTATTGCAGTTGTTTACTGGAAAATCACTTGTTTTTCTCAGGGAGATTAACCCCCTCCAAGCTTTCTTTTGTCTCCTTTCAGGAGGTCCTTGCGCTGGGCTGGGGGAAGGGGAGGGAAGGGAGCCGACTCCTTCAGCTATTAACAGGGGCTTACAGCCCCCTGCCAAGGCTGAGTCCTTCCCTTTGATGGGGTTTTGCTTGCAGTAGGGAGAGGTGCTTGATCTTCCTCAAGGAGATGAATAGAAAGCGAAGATCCGTGGCACGGATGTTCTAAGTTCTGGGCATCTCAGAGAAACTTCTACAGCCAAAGGTGGGCATCAGTGGAGATGCCTCTTTGCAGAGAAGATGCCAGTGGGACTTCTCAAGAGCCCGTTCTCTTTGACAGCCAGATCAATTCTTCTCACTAGGAGCCGAGTTCTATTGCCCACACTGGAGCATGCTGAGGACACAAGTGCTTTCCCAGCATCACACCCCTCTCCTAGGCATGCTGGCTGCTCACCACCCAACACCAGGGAGTCTGCTGAGCACAATGCACAGTGACACAACCCAGAGGACAGCTTGCAGACGAGAAGGATGCTGGGCAGGGGAGGACCTCCAAAGCTCAACAGGAAGGGACCAGTCCTGCTCAAGCCTCACATTTTCCTCGGCATGTTTATGGCAATTCCAGCTGTTCAGAGAGGCGCCGAGTTCTCTATTCTCGAAAGAAGAAGAAGAAAAAAAAAAAAACCAACAAAACTACAAACGTGCACATTTTGTTTTAAAAAAAGAGTTCCCTCAGTACACGTCATTGAGATTCTCGGAGCCCTCACCCCTTCGTGCCACTGCCTACCATGAGCACCACCTGCGATGTGCAGCCCGAGGCGCAATGCTGGCAGCTCTGCCCCTGCCTGCTGTGGGTGGGTGCATGCTTTGCACTGCAACTTGAGCTGAGCATCCCTGCGAGCTGACAGCACCCGTGCTGCGCCTACCCGAGCGAGCGCTCCGGGACTTTGCCGCTGGTGCAAAGCAAGTGGGTTCCCTTGCAGCCCACCTCTGGGGCAGCCACTTCTCAGTGGGGCAGGTTTTTTGGGAGGTGAACTGTGCACAGTGCAGCCCGGTGTGATCACTGTGCAGCTCCGGTGGTGGAGCGGCGGATGCAACGGTGGTGAATTCGGATCACATGCTGCTTCATGGCAAAGCCTGGGAAAAGTCCTTTTGGCTTCAAAGCAATTGCACAAGCTGGCAGTCCAGAGAGCAGACACTAGAGGTGCCGTGGGGGTGCCAAATCCAATTGTACCCACGCAGCATGGGCATCCACGCTGTCCCTGGAGATGTGTGCAGGCAATGTGGGGCTTGCATCTGCCAACACAGGGGTGTGTAACACGGGGCAGGGCGCCGGTGTGAACCTGGGGGGCCGTGCTCCTGCACCCCTGCGTGCCTGCAACTACCATGCAGATGCTGGGAGGCCAGCACAGAGCAGGACGGATGGCACAGCCACCTGTGCCCTGCGCGCAGTCAGAGCGGGACCAAAAAGCAGGGCTGGCACGGCCAGATTCCGCTGCTTCCGATCACCCCACAGTAGTTTCAGTTCCCTGGAGGGCAGGGAGAGACGGCCCAGCACAGCGGGCAGGGGCTGGGGACGGAACTCCCCAGCCGCCCGCCTTCACCTGGGGGGGGAGGCGGAGGATGCGCGGCCCCCAGCCCACCCAGCGGCCGGCAGGGGTGGGCTGCAACCCCCTCCCGGGCGGGGAAAGCCTGCGGCTTGAAACTTCCCGTCGCTCCCCGAGCTGGACTTCGCAGGGTTACGAAGAAGGGAGGGAGAAAGAGGGAGGGATCGCTCTGCAACATTATTGGCTGCGTGGCCGGGCTGGTGCTCGCTGGGGAAGTCAGAGCATGCCCATTGGGGGGGTATAAAAGGGGGGCAGCTAGAGCGCCTTGCCCGTCTCCTCGCTCGTGGGGCAGCCAGCCGGGAGCAGCGGGCAGCAGGCAGCCGGCCCCTCCGCCCCAGCCAGGGGACGCAGTCAGTAAACACCACAACAACCAAAAAGTGAGAGCCACCCAACGGGCAGTCAAGGCAGGAGGAGAGAAAGAGGAGGAAAAAAAAGAAAAGGGGGTTAAACCAGGAGGAAAAAAAAAAAAAAAAAAAGCGAGAGAAAAAAAAAGAAAAAAGGGAAAAAAAAAAAGGAGGGATAAAAAAAGAAGGAAAAGGAGAAAGAAAGAAAAGGAGAAAGAAAGAAAAGGAGAAAGAAAAGGAAAGCGCTCGCCTGCTCTCTAGAATAACAAAATACCTGATCGTAACAAAATAACATCCTCCAGACCAAATCAAGCAGGGACTTGACATACCAAAAGGCAAAGCGAGGAGAGCGAGCCAGGGCGCGGGGAAGGCGAGCCAGAGCCGCGATCGCTGCCAGGGCCGGACAGCAGCATGGCAAGCGCCGGGGCACACACGGATGAGCGCTGCCGGCAGCCTGCCTTCCTCCCCGGCCCGCCGCCGACAGAAGTTGAGAGCGGCAGCGGCAGCGCCAAGGTAAGCGCCGCGCCGAGCCGTGCCGAGCCGCGCCGGGCAGCGCCGCGCCGAACCGGGCAGCGCCGCGCGGTGCCGGTGCCGCGATGCCGGTGCCGTGCCATGCCGAGCCGATCCGAGCCGCGCCGGCTCCGCCGTCCCCACGCGTGTCGCTAGAGGGACCCCGAGAGCCGGCCCGCGCCGCGCTGCCCGCCGCCGACTCGCGAGCCGCGCCGCGGGGGTGCGGGGCGGCCCCGGGGGTGCCCCTGCCCGCGTCCTCCCCGACGCTTCGGTTGTTTTGGACGCGGGTCCGCGGACGCCGCGCACCTGGCGGGGGGACGATGGCGGCGGGAGCGCTGCGCGTCCTTTGCGCGCCCCTTTGCGCGCGGGGGGCGGCGCGGGGCGGTCCCGCGTGGGGGGCGGCCGGCAGCAGCGCGCGTGTGCGGGCAGCCGCGATCGTGCGTGGGCCGGGCTGGCCGCGGGGCCGGGGCTATGCGAGGTCGCGGCGCTGCGCGGCCCCCCGGCGCTGCGCGGCGCGATTTTGGAAGCGGGGAGACGGGGCGGCGCGGCGCGGGGAAGGGACGGGCCGTTCCGCGGCTCCGAGAGCGGGGGGGATCGTTAAACTCTTCCGAAAAACAGCGCGGCGCGTTCGGTCTCGGAGGGATAAAAATACGGAGAGGAAAAACAAGAGAGCGAAGCCAAAATGGAGTGAGAGTTAATGGTTGGCATGGAGCCCTCGACTTTGTGTGATTTTTTTATTATTATTTTTTTTTCTTTCCTCCCAATTGCTTTTCCCTACAGTAATTGTTTTAAGAGAGCAACTTGGAAGGGTTTTAGCACTCCGCTGAGCAGCGGGGAATTGGGGCACATGAGGAAACAGAGATTCCGCACAACCGTAGCAGCAGATGTGGCCACGGTGTGCTGTGACAGTCAGGTCGGGGCTGGCACCTGGAGAGCAGCGCTGCCTTCCGCCCTCCCATGGGAAACCCGCAATCTCTCCCTGATGCTGGGCTGAGCTTGGGAGGCCCAGGCCTGGCTTTCTTTGTTTTTATTTGTTGTCAGGTTGCGTGTGCGGGTGTGCGTGTGCGGTTTCTTCTTTCGCTCCGCAGGGCTCAGCGTGTTGGGTTGGTTCCTCCTCCTCCTGGCGTGATTTACAGCAGAGCTGAGGAGCCTGGGTCATGGGTTTTGTAGGGGTGACTTTGTGCTAAGGACATCTGGAGGAATAAAACTGAGTGACACTTCTGATTTGAGCTCTGCTGAACTGTTTTGGACCCAACTTGACAATTTCGGTGGGGGTGAATGGGTCAGAGCTGTAAATCTCGCTTGGCGGTGTCGACACCCACACAAGTTCACTCAGCCTTTCAAAGGGGCTATCCCGGCTCCTGTGAAAATTCATTAAGGGATAAAAGATTTGACACCGTGGGTCCCTCCCACCGCCGCATGAAATTGGAGAGCCCGAAGGCGGCTGCGTGTGTGTCCCGGGGCCCTTTCTGACAGGTGATCCTTTTTGCAGCCTGCCCGCGGGGCTGCCGCTTTGACCGAGAGGCTCGGAGGTGTCGGTGCGTGGCTTTCCATTGATTTCTATAGGCTTTGGAGCTGGCCTTGCAAGGAAAAGCACTTCTGTACATCTTTTCTTGTTTTAAATAAAGCAAACGCAGCAGGTGAGGTCTTATTTTTAGAGGGACCGAGGCGCTGGTGCGGATCCAGAATCGCATACGAGCGCTGGAAGTGGCCCACCCTGTCCCGCCCATGTCCTGGGGCTGACCTCCCGCTCCTCTCCAGCTTGGCTCTGCTTTTTGAGGCTGCTGGGGCTGTCGGGGCAGGGAGATGGAGAATGAGGGGATCGGGAGGGATGGGGGAAGAAATCCGTGTGGGGGCCACATTGTGACTCCGAAAGGGTTAAGCTGCCTGTGCCAAGACATAAAGCAAGTTCAACGTGTTGTGGGAATATCAGTTGCCAGTAAACTCCAGTCACCACAATTTCTGATTTAACAGCTTAACTTGCTGTTAACTTTCCCTGATACGCTCCAGGTTTTTGACGTGGAGGCAGAAAGGAGAGAGGAACAATAAAGAAAGAAGTTAAGTGAGGCTACTAAAACGGACTTAAATCCCTTCCCTGGGTCCTGCCAGCTGTCTATAGAAGAGTTAAGCAAGATTGCATTTCCTTTTTTTCATGCCGTAAATCAAACGTTTCTGGGCCGCCTACCAAAATTTGTGCAATACTCCCCAGTGGGGTGAGTAAATGGTACTGAATACCCCATTCACCTTTTGGAGCCTGGTTTTTCCGCAGCTCTGGCAGTGCTGGCTATGGGGCGCAGGCATGGAAAGGTGACCCCTGGCACGGGGCTGCTGATGGGGACAAGTCGTGAAGACAAAAAAGCAAGGGCTAAAAATAGAGGCGGCATTGCCAACCTCAGCCATATAAGTGTCATACGAGCCAGGTGCCAAGAATGGTGAGTTGTGTGGGTTTTTTTTATTTTTTCAATCCCAGTGATTAGAGCTGAGCAGCAGAACCCTTCAGCTTGGGTGAGTTTTATTTGCCTCAGCGGTCAAAAGTTTTGCCTCCTTCGAGCTGGGTTTATACCCTTTCTTTTTTAGAAAGAAGCTATTCCAGGCTGGAACCTCCAGGATAAGGATTTGGGAAACACCAGGTACAACGTGGCTGAGGCAGCAAGAGGGATGTGGGATGCTCCAGAACGAGGCACAGCACACAGGCTCCTCTCCCTTGGGTACCATGGGCAGCTCCTCCACCCCAGCTGCTTTCTGGCTGCCAAGGCACCTTTCTCTCTGTGCTGGCCTTTGCTTTTTGGCTCTTGAGTGCATCACCATGCCCATAGGCAGAGCTGGGGGCCCTGGTGTGACGTGGTGATAGTAGGTGTGCCCCCACTTCCTGCCCTCAGAGAGCTGTGCCCCAATCCAGGTCAGTGCCCTGCTCCCTGAGGGACGTCTGCACACTGCATCACATCCCCTCTCCACTCTCAGCAGCAATATGCTCCATCTCATATCTGTAGGCAAAACCTTATGGCCCCGTGCACACATTTCAGTATGCAAGGGATGCCATGTCTCCAGCTGCATGCTGGGATAGAGATGCTGTGACTGCAGGCATTGCTTCTTGCACAAGCATTGGGCATTTTCTACAGTAGAAAGATGTCCAATCTGCCCGCTTTTTTGGAAGGGCAGTGGAGGATGTGATGCAAAAAGTTGCTTTTTCCCCCTCCCTGCAGGCACCATTGGGTTTGAACTGAAAAGTTTTTTGCCATTTTAGATGCTCCACAAAGAGCAAGATTTTTTTATTTTTTATTTTTGCTGTCCAAATCCAAATTTTGCAGACTGGGCCATCTGTCAGTTCCCTCCTACGTTGTTCTGTTCATATTAAATTGTAATGAAGGCCAGACTGAAGAAGGAATTAGGTCAGACAGGAGGTTCAGTATCCATTTTTTGGGAGATGTTGCCCAAGAGAGAGGCACCATGGTTAGGTTGGCTCAGCACAAGCCTGAATGTGACAAACGCCTGAGCCTTCCTCTTGAGATTTGGCAACTGCGCCTTTTGAGCATACTGTGGCCTCTTGGTTTCTGACTCCCCGGCAGCTGGACCACAATCATCTCTCCAGCTGATCGTGCAGCAAATCCTCAGCAAATCCTTCAGGCCGTCTCAGGCCAGAGGGCAGCTCTGCTGCAGACCTGCTTCGTGCTCACTCTCATCACACCAGTGCTGCTCCAAGGGGACCCTCTCCATAGCTGTGCCACTACCAGTGTGACCTGTCTGTCGCAGGGCTGCAGAGAGATGCTCAGGTTTCCCCAAACACAAAGAGCACTGTGCAGCGTGGGCGCATCACTGCATGCCCATGGCAGTTTCCTGGTCCCATATTTGCCACTGTGGACAAAGGGAGAAGCAGGAGCCTCCTTGTTTGCTATCCTGGTTGAAACTTTGTGCGGCAATGCATGACCTCCCTCTGTGTACTTACTAAGGGATGGCAGTCAATACAACTGATTCAACTGCATTTTGCAATAATGAAACTTGGATGGATGTAGCATCTCTTCTAGTGTTGTGGGGACCAACACCAACATCACATCGTCTCTGTTACCCATTGCACAAGAGAGCCTTTGCAGTAAATATGAAGGCTCAAATGGCTTTGACTCCTGATGCTGGACAGAGCTTAAGCCACAGCCATGGAAGATGTATGCACATGCAAGGCTCAGAGGGCTTCATACTCCTGCCCCAAGGGGGCTGTGGAGGCACAGCACTGAGTACCCAGTAGTTGAATTGAGAAGGAAGGGCTTTTGTCAGGTCTCCTTCAGTATGGTGTCAGCACTGGGACCATTGCTATCCTCATGGCTTCTTCCCACATAGATAGCAAGAGGGAGACTTCTTGGTTGGTATTTAAGGCTTGGGCAACCAGTAACAGCTGGAGGCAGGCAAGGCGTGCACCTGCAGCACAAGTTTTGCAGTAGTTGTTGTTTTGCAAAGGAGCAGAACATATCAGGTCTCCCTGGCATCAGATATCACCCTGCTGACAAAAGACTGAGCTTGGGGGTGTTGAGGCCAAAGCAGTCCTGTTGCAGATGATGCACCCCAATCGATCCTCACCATAGCAGGGGCATTGATGGAGTAGGGGAGGAGATGAGGTGCTGGAGGCACATGCTCACTGTGACTAGCTGGGGGGCAGAAAGCAGTTTAGTCATCCTGATATCCCACTTGGGCATCGCGTGCACGTGAAAATCAAGGGGAAAAAAAAAGAGAAAGAAAAAAAGAACAAAAACAGCATGGGATAATCACAGGCTTTTTGGGAGGGGATTGCGCTGCTGATGCTGCCACGACTAAAGCAGTGCAGGTGGTGCTGTGATGACCAACTCCACTATTTTGGAGAGCTAATGGCTTGGGACCATGGCTTCTTTCTGACACTACTGGAGCTCTGTGCACATAATGGTTGGTGGCAAGGGTGGCTTTATTGCTGGTGGGGCCACAGCAGGGCCCTGGGAGAGGTGGGCTAATTTCCTGGCTGTGCTGCAGACTTCCCCTGTGACCTTGGGTGAGTCATTTAATCTATCCCGGGCTTCAGCTCCATCTCTGAGCATCCCGTGGGGGTGAGGTAATATTCATTAACTGATATTATTCTCGAGTTGCTCCGATGCTATGGTGATGAAAATGGGAGGTGAAACCCAGTGCCTTGGCTGAGCATCAGCAGCGAGAGGGGATGCTCTGCTTGAGTTTTAGCAGCCAGTATGGACGAATGCAGTTTTGACACAATTCCCCTCTTAATTTTTTGCTGTCCTCTTGGCCACCATGGATATTTGGCTGCATTAATGCAGTGATGCTCATCACTGAGGGACAGAATGTGGATATTGCATCATGCAGTGCTGTGGTGGCATCGTCATGCTGATACCCCCCATGAACCACTCTGCTTCTATGGTGTGTCTTTCTGGTTCTAGTCCTCACCAGCAAACATAGCTTGTGCAATCAGCCCCTTGATTGCCTGAGCAGTGTCTTCTGGGTGCACAGGGAGAAGGCTACTATTCTCCCAGTAAAAGCCAGCTTTCTCCAAACAACAGGCAGAAAGTTCATTCATTTTGGCTTTGGGGAAGCACACGCTCAGGTAGGACATGGCAGTCTTCCATCTAACACCCTGCTTCTTTCCCCAGGTGCAGAGGATGTGTGCAGCCAGGCAGATGCTGCTGCTACTGCTGGCCTTCCTGGCCTATGCATTGGATTCAGCTGCGGCGTATGGCACGGCAGAGACCCTCTGTGGTGGGGAGCTGGTGGACACGCTGCAGTTTGTCTGCGGGGACAGGGGCTTCTACTTCAGTAAGTTCTACTTGCTTACATGATGCTCAGCGCCCGCCTCGTGCTATGCCAAGATGATGCAGATGGAGCTGGGTTGGGATGGGAAGGATGGGTTCTCCACCCCAGTGCTCTTTAAGGCAGTGTTGTGCATGGTGAGAAGAGGAGCAAGATGAGTGATGAGCCAAGGGAGGGTCCAATGGGGAAGCTGGGTCCTATGTTCCATGCTCAGATGTGGCTGGGCAGTGCTGATAAGTAGTTCATTCGCTGTTGATGTGGATAAGTCTTCAAAATAATGAGGATTTCTGCTGAGCTGGGATTCCAGCTTGTTTTTAAACCCAGATAGGCTCGCTTGGATATAACCACAGGTTCTGAGCCCTCCTAGGTGGCCTCCTGGCTACTTGCTAATGACACCAATGTCTGACCTTCTAAACAGCATAGCCAGTGCCAAAAACCGCAGTGTCGCTGTTGTCCACAGAGGTCAGGGATCTGCAGAGGTGTTGTATGGAACATGTTTTCCTTGAGTGTTTTTGAGATTTGGACCATACGTGCAAAAACACAAGAGCTCAACTAGTAGATGAGGAGGAGTAAGGTGATGGATGTTCGGTAATACATGAGCAGATGAGAGTGCTTTAGGTGTGATGCCTTCTGGTGGTATAGTATTCTCCTTGTACAGGAGAGGCAAGAACCTGTGTCCTGCAACCCACTGCTGACTGAACTCTATAATATACTACAGGAAGTATGCAAGGCATAGCAGTAGGGAAAACAATGCAGGTAGCGCAGCTGCACCTAGCATCCTTGCCTCTGCTTTGGAGAAACTTACATTACAGTGATACACTCTTGAGTAATGTATTGAGCTATTTTTTTTTTTTATATAGCAGTCCCAAGAGCCATCCTCCCTCTATTCCCAATCTAGCATTTACAGGGAGTGAGCTGCTGCAAGCTTTGGAGAAGACCCTTGCAATGCAGTGCAATGGAAAGTGCAGCAATAACAGCAGAATAGCAAGGTCTCAGGCTACAGCAAGTGAGAACTTGCTCAAATGTAACAACCATGGGCACTGAAATAAAAGAAAGAATCTGCTTACCTTCATAGGGCCTCAGGCAGACAGGGATCTTCAGCAAGATCCCCTTCCTGCACTCCAACCCTTAAATGAGGTCTGGGATTAGGGTGCATTGTGTGCACCTGAGCTCCCCTGGATTACCCCTGCCTTCCCACCAGGTGCTTAATCACTGGTTCAAGGCATGACTTTGCATTTCCACTACAACCCTATACCCAGCCAGGCTGGGCTGCAGTTGGCTGAGAGTTACTCCATCCATAGACTGTGGAGGGTGTGCAGGGTGTAGGGGTTAGGCTGCATGGTCCAGCTACCAGCAGGCTTCAGCCTGCGTTACTTCACAAGTGTGGTGGCATTGCAGGTGGCTTTCCTTCTAGCCAGGCCCTGCGGGTGATGGCTTTGTTCTGGTGATGTAATGTTTTTGGGAGCACTGTTCCTTTCTCTCTGAGCCCAGCTAGGGGTTTCCACCATAACTGCCCTTCTCTTCTCATCTCCCCCTTTTCTCCTACCACTGAGCCACACTGGGGTGAGGGGACTGGGTTTTGCCTTCCATATCTGTGGCAAGCACCCATCCCAGTCTCACACCTCTTTCTCTCTCTGAAGAGGAGCATCCACCTCCCTTCGCTTGCTTCTCTTCTTTCCTCCCCCTCTCTGGGGATGAAAGGGAATGGGGCTTTTGTTTTACAGGCAAACTGACCTCCTTTCACCTCGAATAACCCATCCTCTCAGTCCAAAATAAAAACACTTTTGAAGGCAGAAATGTAGCTTTGTGCCAAGTGACCAGTCTGGTGCTCACAAGGGGATTCTTGCTCTTCTTTTTCCACCTGTCTCCTTCCTTCTTGTTGAATGTTTCTGGAGAGTTCAACCACTGAGGGATGAAGGAAAACCTATCAGTCCCATATTTCCATCTCTTCAGCAACCTGTTGAGGTTGCAGTGAATGTACATTTGTCACTGGTTCTATTCAATGAAAGTCTTGGTCATCCCCAGTTCCCCTCTTTCTTCCCTCTAGCTCCATCAGTTGTTCCAGTGAAGGCATTAGTTCTTCTGCCCATATTAATCTTCACTCTTGACTTCTGGTGGCAAATGTTATTTCCACTGCACAGACTCTTATCTCTGGGGGTCCCTTTCAACCCCTACAATTCTATGATTCTGTAGGGCATGTTTATGTTTCACAGTCCTGGTTTATGTCTTTAACACTGAGGCTGGGATTGTCCTGACCAATTGTCCATCTGCTACTGGGATGACAACTGCAACCTGAGGACAAACCTGTGCCAGCAGTGTGTTTCATACCTGAGGTAGATGACTTTGGTGGCCTTGTCTCATAAGTACAGGTGGCTCTGCATGCTGGAATGGGCTGCCTGGTAATCCTGAGAAAAAATGGAAATGGCATGAAAATCTGCCACTGGTTTTCTGCTGCTGCAGTAATTTAAGCTAAGGTGTAGCTTCCCTATTCCAAGATGCAGTAGTTTGCATCTGGATGCAGTGTGTCTGCAGTGTTTCACACCCCTGGTATTCCAGGGTGGGGAAATACACAGTGCAGACTGAGGAGGGTGCCCCCTGATGATGGAGATGCCTGTCCGTCCATTGGCACAGAGCATGAACCCAGCTACCAGGTTCCCTTGGAAATACCATGAGAGCTGTTGCTTGGGGCTCGGGATGTTGAAGCTGCCTACAAAATCCTATTATGGGGGCGTTTCAGCACCACTGGCATCCCTCTGTAGGGCTTTTACTACTTAGGCCTCCTTTAAGTCTTGAGGCAGCTGTTTTACATGACTTGTTTGTGAAAGAGACAACAATTTGCATGGCACACCCTTGGGGATGAGTGCTGCTGGTCCCACGGCAAGCCCTTGCCACATCCCGGGTTGCACCTGAGACCCGCAGCAGTGATGCCACCAAGCACTGGGGCTGCAAAAGAACAGCTCCAAGGAGGCTGAAGCCCCAGCTGCAGGCACTGCATTGCTCTCCCTTTTCTGCAGCAATCTCCATGGATGACTCAAGGCTTGCAGGTGCCGGCAAGGTGATGCTGTCCTATGGCACGGCCGTGGGGATGGATGCTGAGCATGGAAAAAAAGAAATAGGAAAAAAAAAAAAAAGGGCAAGAGGAAGTCCCAGCGGCAAATTTGTTGTCATGCACCATCGGCAGGGAAGGGAGAAGGGGCTGCGGGGGGAGAGGCGTCCGACTTCTCTGTAAACAACAGCTCCTGTTTCCTCCTTTCCAACAGCTGATAAGAATTTAGCTCTTTGCGGCCGCTTGTGCTGACGGGGCACATTCTTGCGTGCCGCCGCTCCTGCGAATAATACTAGGAAAAAGCAGGGGGGAAAGCGCAGTGCCGGGGCTAGGGGAGGGACAGGCTGGGGGCACTGGGACGGGGACGGCACTGCACAAAGGCCCCCTTGTTGCTCCCGACATTCCTGCGCCGGGGGTGTGGGGACTGTTTGCACCCAAAGTCCCCTTCCACTCGGCTTGCCGCCTGACGGACCGGAGGAGAGGGGAGCCGAAGGTGGGGACATGCCTCGGTGCCGCAATCCAGGGAAGGGACCCTCCCATCCCTCTGGGTGCCCCCACCCCTGGGGTGTCCCAGGAGCACTGCTGGGATGCTCAGCAAGTCCCATCAGGATGCTTGACCACCACTATTGGAGTGCTCACCAGTTCCCACTAGGATGCTCAGTGCATCCATCAGGACAGTGTGATGCCAAAGGGCACCAGCAGGCAGAGGTTTTTGGTGGAGCACAGTTTTTCAAGGAACACATCTGCTTCCTAAGCCCCCTGGGAAGGCCAGGAGGAAGCACGATGCCTTAGGGGAAGGCAGTAATTGCAGAAATGGGAAGTGGATGGGGAGCGGAGGAGGAGAAATGCTTCACCCCCTGCTTTACCATGTTCTGGCTTTGGCAGTGATGTTCAAGTGAGATGCTGCTGGTGGATGAAAGCCAAGGAATTCAACCTTTAGTCTGTGCGTAAATTGTGCTACGGAACAAAACCCTTTCCCCAATCCAGGTCAGCAGCAATATCACTGTTAACTAGAAATGTCCTGGCATCTTTTCCCCTGGGTTATTATCTCCAGGTGCTTTCTGATGCTAAATCCCTGTTTGTTATGTTTGCCTGTTTTTTTCCTCTGCAGCAGTGTTCCCATAGAGGATGGGGTTGGCATTTGGCTCGATGGGTATGGACTATTATGTAATGGGAGATGTGCCCCCCCAGGCCCTTGCAGGGATGCTGGCAGCAGTGCCAGCAAGGGGAATGGCATGTAGGGACTTTATGCAACAGAGCAAAGGCAATGCTGGAGGGCAAGCGACATGCACATGGTGGGCAAAACAAGGGGTGCTGATAGCCCAGGGCTGGTTCACCCAAACATTGCCCTTGATGTCGGGTGGTTGCATCTGTTTTGATGCATATCTATCATACACATACAGCATATATAGAATCATAGAATTGTTTGAGTTTGAAGGGACCCTTAAGAGTCATCTAGTCCAGCTCCCCTGCAGTGATATCTACTGTGGGCGTACATATGTGAAGAATACATGCACATGACCTCAGGTTGTCTCACCTTCCCCCCTCTCTGCTAGCCATTGCCACCCTGATTGCCTGCCTTGGAATCACTTGTATGGCAATGGACACTCAGCTCACCCAACTGCATTGCAAGGGAGGGCCCAACCCAGTATGCTTGCTGGCAATGAGCATTTTAAGGATAGAAGAATAAGCTCCCAGCATTGCTCCTATCACCAAGCCTTTGCTGAGATGGAACCATCCTTTTCACTTTGCGATGTAGCTGGCTAAAAGTTGCATCTGAAAGTTTTCCGGAGAAGTAAAAATAAAGACTTTAAAAAAAAAATGGAAAAAGGAGAGGTAATTGCCAAAATAAGAAGTGGAATGGGGAAGAATGTGGAAAATCAAGCATTTAAACGACTGCCAAGGGTGGGCTGCACGGTATGAGTCAGTTGTTTCATCGCAATGCACCCGATGCTGTGTTTGCTCTCGTGACCTCAGTGCACGGTGGTGATGCTCCAGAGCAGAGCAGAGGGCTCACTGCAAATGGAGTGAGGGCTGAGTTTGACAGATAGCAGGTGCTGTGCTGCCCGGGGCTTTGCTTTTGCAAAATGTGTTGAAGGAAGGTCACGGTGTGTTTTGCATGCTGGTGTTATACACATAAAGCTGCACTGTACATGTGTGCCTGCATCGCAGACACGGGGCTGCATTGCATGCACCAGGCTGCATTGCACATGCAGAAAATGTTTTGGCTTTGCATCTTGTCCTGGGGCACTTTGGGTGGCCATCCAGGTGGAGTTCCCCATGAGGAAATCAGTCAACACCTTGCAAGCCAAAGCTTTAAAATCTTGAGTGCCTTCATCTGGAGCACATGGTGGGATCATGGGTTGTACACAGGGCCAAAGCAGCATTCCCTCAGCTGGGCTGTGGTACTGGGTCTCTTTTGCAGCCCCGCTGATCCTGGCCTCTACTCCAGTGTAGGCACTGGTCCCCTCCACTTCAGCTCCTTGCCTTGGCCCTGTGTATGAAAGCCCAGAGAAAACCATTTAGTTTGGGACCATTATACATTTTGGAAGTCGCTTTTCCCAAGAACATTTGTTTTGCCCCCAAAATCCAAATTTACCCATTGATTTTCTTTCAAGAGGGGAAGGAACAAAATGAAGCTGATCTGAGCCAGCCTTCTGGAGTGTTTTCTCTGTACTTAAATACTGACATGAGATGTGCTTCATTGTTGCTGTACTGGACACTGGTTTTTGCATCCTTCTGCAGGAAGAAACGGGAGAGGAACCCTTATTAAAAGATTAAGTTTAATAGCTATTCTTGGCATGCCGTCACGGGCCTGTATTCTTTCTGCAGCTGTCTACGAGCTGTCTCATCTGGTAAAATTTAGCCGTGTTGGTTCGCTTCACCTGCCCAAGCGTCAACACGGCAGAGGAAGGTTGGCAGCCTCAGCTCCGCGCTGCTTCTTTCTAATAAAACTCTCTTGCCAGGATCAACATCGCAGACATTTGTGGTAATCGGTGCGGCGTCTGCATCCGGACTGCTGTCCGCGCTGGGCTTGCTAAGGAGCAATAGGAAGGGAATAAATTACAGCAATAGAAAGTGCCTTCAATTAGTGTTGTGCGCACACCGGGAGCCCTGTCAGTATTGAGAGTGTTTGTCTAGGAAGGCCATCATGGGAAACTCAGGCTTTTTGTGGGCATATGTCAAAGAAGATGAGTGTTTTGGGAGAAGTGCTGCTGGTTTTGAAATACAGTGATCATGAGGCTGTGGAGGTGCCAGCTTGGGACCCTGCAGTCTATGGTAACTGCAGGAGAGATGCCGTCAAGGCAACAGGCAACAGGTGAAAGGTGACGAAGCTATGGTCTACACTGATGGCTAACGCTCAGGCCTTTACTCCTGCAGGTAGACCAGTGGGACGAAATAACAGGAGGATCAACCGTGGTATCGTGGAGGAGTGCTGCTTTCGGAGCTGCGACCTGGCTCTGCTGGAAACCTACTGTGCCAAGTCCGTCAAGTCAGAGCGTGACCTCTCCGCCACCTCCCTTGCGGGCCTCCCAGCCCTCAACAAGGTAAGGCTGCACTCGGGCTGCTAGCTCCCTGAAGCAAGAAAGAGGAGAAAAGGGAGGCCATCAGTAGGGGAGGACTGCTCCTGGCTCTACGAGCTGCTGCTTCTGCAGCCAAGGCAGCATGCAAAGCCTTGAAGTGTTTATAGCTGTTGAGGAGTCAAAGAAATTGCAGAAAACAAACTTCTAACCATTGACTCATAGAACGGTTTGGGTTGGAAGAACCCCCTAGTGATTATCTAGTCCATCCCTGCCATGGGCAGGGACACATCCCACTCTTAGATCAGATTGCCCAAAGGCCCATCCAGTCTGGTCTCAAATGCCTTCAGAGAGTGGGCACCCACAGCTCTTCTGGACAGCCTTTCCCAACATCTTGCCACCTTGTTGTGGAAAACTTCCTCCTTATATGCAGTTTCCTTCAGCTTAAAATCATTGCCCCTTGGCATATTCCGACAGGTCCCAATAAAAAGTTTCTCTCCAGCTGCAGCAAGGTCTCCCTGGGACCTTTTCCAGGCTCAACAACCCCAACTCTCCCCACCTTTCCTCATGGGAGAAGTGTTCCAGCTTGCTAATAATTCTTGTGGCCCTCCTCTGTCCACATCCTCCTTGTGCTGGGGACCCAATAGAACCTGTAACACGGGCGACCATGGGTAGAGGTTGCCCCAGGGAAGGTAACCCACCTTGTGTTGACACTGCGTTGTTCTCCCTTCCCCAGGAGAGCTTCCAGAAGCCATCTCACGCCAAGTACTCCAAGTACAACGTGTGGCAGAAGAAGAGCTCGCAGCGGCTGCAGCGGGAGGTGCCTGGCATCCTGCGTGCCCGCCGGTACCGGTGGCAGGCAGAGGGGCTGCAAGCAGCTGAGGAAGCCAGGGCGATGCATCGTCCCCTCATCTCCTTGCCCAGCCAGCGGCCTCCGGCACCGCGGGCATCCCCTGAAGCGACCGGCCCCCAGGAATGAACTGTGACCGGCCGGCTGGATTTGCGATCTCCCGGGGAGAGACTGGCGAGACTCGGCCCCCCCTGAGCCCCTCCGTCCCCAAGCCGAGGAGCGGGGCGGCAGGCACCATCACGCCGCTCCGGCCCCAACCAAACAACTGACACAAGCAAGGAGGGGATGGCAGCGGCCGTGTGCAGCGTCCTCCTTTTGGGGTGGGGGGGAGGGTTGTTTCGTTTCCCAGGCCTGTTTCGTTTCCCTCGCGCACCCAGTATTTTTCAAGCCTTGTACTTACGAAGGGACAGTTGGGCACTTGAACTTTTTGCTGCCGGGCGCTGTGTGACATCCCCAGTGCCAACACTAGAAGACAAAAGAACGAGCAAGAGGGAAAAAGGATATGAAGTTAACTTTTCTTTTAAATTTTATTTTATTTTTCTCAAGAAGAAAAGTCCATTCCATGTCTTTCTTGACAATAAAGTGAAAAGCAAAAACAAATGGGGAGAGATGTTGAGGGATGTAACTTTTTTGCCTCATTCCCATCCAATTTTTTTTTTTCTTTCTTTTTTTGTTGGTAACTTTTCTTATTTTTATAACTTTTTTTTGCACCTTTAAAAAGAAAATGTAACTGAGACGAAGTTCCGAGGAGTCCCATCTGCATTTTTTGTGTGTGTGCTTAATTACAAGATTCCAAATCGACTTGCACCTTTTTGAAACCATCGCTGACGGGAGAAAGAGAGGAAGAGGAGAGAGAGAAAGAGAGAGAAGAAAAAGGAAAGGGGAAAAAAAAAAAAAAAAAAGTGAGCTGATGCTCACTTTAAATGGAGGAGGCGTCTGCATTGCACATTTGCCACGGATTTAGTTGATTTATATATATAATATATTATATAACTTTTTTGGCAAAAAAGCACTATTTTTATGGGACATTTTGTGTAGTATCTGAAGAGGGATTGTAATGTTTAAAATGTGTTATGGTGCTAAAGTAAGTTGGAAGGGAAAAAACCCAGAAATAGCAAGGGAGGGTGGGGAGGGAAGAACAAGATAGCGAATACTGAACTTGAAATTTTAGCTTTTCGTTTTAGGAAAAGTGTGATAAATGTGTTTCTTTTCTCTTCTGAAATATAGCTTGGTCATGACCATATGAGCTAGTTGGCTGTCACTCATGTACACAGATGCACGCACACACAGAAATACATCTACACGCGTTCTTTTTTTTTTTTCTTTCTTTTTTTTTTTTTTTTAAGAAAAAAACAACGATTTAGACTAAAAGGGAACTGTTCTAGATACAAACTATTCTGAATGGTGAAGGTATTGCCGGTTACAACTCCAGGCCCTGCTTCTGTGTGGATCCTGGTGAAGATCAGCTTCTCCATCCTCTCAACCCTGACGGCTTGCTTGCTGTGCGGAAATGCCAGCCCCGTGTCCCTCTGTCTCCTTTTCCTTCTCTTGCCCCTTGCGTTCTTCTTGCAGAACCACCTGCCCTCCTCCCCTTGCCCCATGCCCAAGGCTGTGGAAGATGGCCCTTGGGAATGATGGGGACCCTCCCCACATGGGGCAAGCGTCCCCCCCGGCGTAGTGGCCTCCACCAATGCGATGGCCTCAGTCAGCATGGTGACCTTCATCAGCATGGTGGCCTCAACCAATGTGATGGCCGTGGTCAGCATGATGGGCGGTCTCCGTCAACATAGTGGCTTCCATCAGCATGCTTTCCTCCATCGCTGTGTTGGCCTCAGTCAGGATGATGGATGACCTCCATCAGCATGGACAGCCACCATCAACGTGGATGGTCTCCATCAACATGGATGGCTTCTGTCATCGCGGTGGCCTTTGTCAACCTGGTGACCTCCATCAGTGTGGTGGCCTCTTTCTGCCTGATGGCTGGGTTAGGTTCCCAGGCAGGGAAAAGGCAAGTCTCTCACTTGAGACTCGGGACTCAATGAGCAGATGGGTTGGAGAGGTGGGCAGAGGGCTGTAAAATAGGTTGGTTTTTAAAATAATATATATTATCTGTCTAGGAACCATAAAAAGGGGGGAATCAATTACATCTCCCTATGATATACTCTCACTTGCTAATAAAACGGGGACACTCTGTTAACCAGTTCTGTACTTGCTTTGTCTTATATATCCATACATTTAAAACAAACAAAAAAAAAAGACTACTTGAATTGTATTCTATTTCGTGGTTTTGAGGGGAGGGCTAGGGGAGTCTCAAGAGAGGGAGGATTTTAATGTATAATCATTTTGTTTGTTATTACCTTGCAATGTTGAGCCATGAAGCCTTTGTTTAAAAAAGAAATGGCACTGCAATACACAACAAAGAAAATCCTTTATTTATTTTATTAAATATATATGGAAAAGAATGAAAATTGGTCCAAATTAAAGGGGGGGAGAGGGGAAAGGGAAGAGGGTGGGGTGGGAAGGCAGAACAAAAACAGCAATTGAAAATAATTGATTTTTTTTTTTTTTCTTCCTTTCCATGTGTCTTTTTTTAAAAGAAACCTAGTTTTTATTTTTTAAAAAGAGAAGTAAAAGCTTTCCTGGATGCTTTGTACCAAAAAAAAGAAAAATGAAAAAAAAAAAAAAAAAAAAAAAAAAAAGAAAACCTGTTAAGCAAATAAATATCCATCCAGAATACAAAAGCCTGACTTTTTCTTCTAGTTTTGGTTTATTTTTATTCTTGGGGTTGGAGTTGGGTGGGAGAAGGCCACACCAAACAAGAGACCTTAATCTCAAGTCCTTTCCAATTCACTGCTGGTCTCATTGCAGGTAGAAAGTTTGGGTCTGTTCCTGTCCCTGCCCCACCACCTCTCATTGACCTTTGTAGTTTTGTTTGCAGGAACGGGTGTCCTTTTGTGGGCTGAGGACTGATTTAATTGTAGCTTTTGGTAGTTGCTGCTGGAAGTTTTGTTTGGCATGTTTGTTTGTTTGTTACCTTTCTGCTTTTTTTTTTTTCCCTCTTGCATAAATTGATAAATCGTGGTCATGGGGGACATTCAGAGATGACTTAAAAACAGGTGAAACTTCAGCCACATCTCTTGCCTGCTTCCACAGCAAGCAAACAACTGGGGCTGGGAGCTCAATAAGGATGCCAATGCCATTTCCAAACACTGTGTCGATGCTGCTGGAAGTGTCCTCAGATTTGGGCAAAGCACAAAAAAATCCCCTCTGTTTTGCAAAATAAAATATATAGGGACTTTGGCACTTGCAATGCACTGAGCTCTCTTACTTCCTGGGATACCAACAACCTTGACAACTTTGCATCCTGGTGCTTGTGGTGCTTGCGTCACTGGAACAAATACACAGAAACAGGTTGAGGTTTGGCTAGTGAGGCCAGGGATACTGGCAAAGAGTGGGAGTACATCTGCCGCTGCACATCAGAAAGTAGCTCTTTTCCATCTCAACTGACATAGGGCCAAAGCAGAGTGATAAATCTGGGGTCATTTTTTGGAAAACTGGGAAATTGTTTAAATTGTGTCCTCTGGCTCAGCAAAGAGCACACTGGCTTGCAAGGGTAGATCCAAGCAGCCCCAAGAAGCTCTGAGCCTGCTCTTGTCCAGTGAGGCCCCTTGAGTGGGTGAGACTGGCTGAGACGGAACCTTTGCTTCTTATGTGGGTCCTCAAGTTACTTCTGTTGCCTGCAAATCTCCATCACAGGTTAAAAAATGAATAGATGAATTCCAAGGCATAGCTTGGAAATCCCTGGGGAGGATTTCCACAGCTTACAGTGGGTTTGGACACCCAAAAACCTCCAGTCTGTCTGATCCAATGACTTCCTGTGCTCTTCTGATGTACATGGGGACAGAGAAGCAAAGAACTACACCAGCAGAGAAATCTGTCATGGTGTTTGGTGCCCCATGAAAAATCACTCCCTTGGTCTCAGCGCTATTGTTGAGCTCTGCAGAAGGCAAAGGGCAACAGACTTTTGCACAAAGCATCACCTCAGAGAGCATTTGTCCCATGAGATTCCCATTGGGACAGAGGAAAGGAAGGAGTGTGCAGCCTGCTGCAGGAAGGTGGCCACAGCCTTTGCAAGGTGTGTAAATCACTGTCTGGACTTATTCAGGGTATGGAGAGATTTGGTGGGGGGAAGGAGGGTGGTGAGTGGAGGGGATGGGGGGGGATGCTAATCATGTACTTTTTTTCTTTTTCCATTCTTCTGTGTTATTTCAGAGATCAGTTTTCATTTATAAATCCAGAAAGCAGCTGGGCTGTTTTCTTAGTGTTCAGTGAGTAGTGCCAATGCCATCAGGATAGACTAAACCTACAGACAGATTCCTTTACTTCCTTGTTCTCTCAAAGCTCAATCCATTTCATCCTTCTGCTCTGAAAAACTCATATTTTTTTTTTTTTTTTTTTGTGATGTACCTAGCTGCACTAAATGAAGGGAAGAACTGTATTTGTTCTTCTTGCTGATTTTTTTTTTTTTTTTTTTTAATATATACTATTGTCCACTGATGTTTTATATGCCTGTGGGGAAGCCTGGGAAAGGCACTGATTCATCACCAACATCACTTGTCTGCACCCAGCAATAGACAAGATGCACACTTCCCAGGTTGTGCACCTATTGCACTTCCCACTTGTAATACATTATCAATAAAGCAAATCAGCTATAAGAAACTTTCACATCTGGTGTCTTTTCTGTCCCCCCTTTGTTGCTGCACTCCCAGCTGCATGCATCCCAAGGAATGCCTTGCTCATCAAAATCATGCCAGCTTTTGCAGAGAGCCCTGCAAGATCCTCTTTCCCTTCCTTCTCCTGGTATCTGCCAACACTGATCTGAAAGCTGAGGTTTCTAACCTGCTAGGCTCTTGCTTGGCAAAGAGTAAGGACACGGAGAAGGGAATCTTTCATTCTTCTAGCAAAATAAACAAACAAAAATGCAAATTATTTCACAGTTTTGAGGAGTACCACAGTGGAATGTTAGAACTGAGAAAAAAAAGGCACAAAGTCAGTGGTCTTGGCTTTGACTTGTCACAGCTTAGTCTAAGAAGCAACCTCTTGACCTCCAGTAATAAAGCGAGGGAAAGAGATTTTCAATGAGACATGGCTGGAAACATCACTGGTGTCTTAAGACACAGAAACATGAACTGTGAGCTCATTTTGGATACAAATTTCTTAATTTCATGACAGGAGCACAGGGACCGTTGAGGGTACCCTTCCAGAGTACGTCCCCATCATCCTCTCTCCTAAAAAAAAATAGTCTGAAATAGGAATTTTTGATACTCGATTATCCTTTCTCAAGCCACAAGGGCACGCTGATAATGGTAATCTTTGTATTCTTCACAGCTGGGTCATAGCCACAAAGGGAGGGAGGTGATTAGGAGAATATTAAGTCTTCATCTTCCAAGACGTTGTTGCTTCTGTTCCTCCTCCCTCTCTCCTCCATTCCCCATGCTTAGCAAAGAAAGCGGCAGGAGTATTATTTCTCAAGGCCTATAATGACGTCAATACGTGGGGTATTTATTTATGAAATTGAATCTAACAGTGGGGGAGAGAGTAGCGGAGGAAGATGGACGTGCAGAGCCAGCAGCTGCCAAGCTACAACAGAGCTGCAACCTTACAGTATTTTTCTACCCTCTTTCTGTGGGAGTGACACAGTGTCCAGAACTTCAGACACCCAGGAAAAGCGAAGAGAAGAGAGAGAGAGAGAAAAAGGCAAGCTTGATATTGAGAGCAGAGGAAAGGTGCAGCAAGGGGATGTCCTTAAAGAGGTAAATAGCCTGTTTTTGATGCTGGGATATTCAGATTTAGTCCTCCAGGAAGGGTAGCACTGCAGACACTTGCCTTCAGGAAGGCTCTGACAAGTCTTGAGCAGCCCTTTCCTCTAAGCCTGTTCAGTCTTTGTAAAGAAAAATCAGAGAGGATTGAAATTCCAGCCAAGGGACTTCATTTCTCCTTTTGGCTCCCCTTTCTCCCTTGCTACTTCAGGCTCAGGCAGCAAAACAGCCATCTAGGAAACCCAGCAATAAAGTCAACATGAAGATTAAGTTGTCCCCTGCAGTCAGTGGCAAGCAGCTTTCCAGACTAGAATCCGCATCTGTTGATACAATCCTGTGCTCAAGCATAAAAGGTGAAAGCCAAAAAGGGAGAGTACTTTCTTCTCTACAAACTCAGGAGCAGAGCATCCCTAGGGGTGTGAGCAGCACAGATCATAGAATAAGGTTGAAAAGACCATGAGATTACCTTGTCCAAACATCAATCTATACCAATAAATACCATACGATACATACCTGTAAAAGATGACTATCACAATGTGGTGACTTTGGATTCAGTTCTAATGAGCACTGGCAGAAGACATCTTTGGGTATCTCTCCCTTTGCTTAGGTGAAAGTTTAGCCAATAGGGTACAGGTTTTGGTTTCTCTGGCAGGGTTTGTCTCCAGAAGAGAGGAGGAAGCAGACTGAACATCATCCTCTGTGATAGGCAGTCCCTCACTGGCTTAGAAGTCATGCATGGAATTGTTCCCTCATGGATGGGAATAGAGGAGGACAGCTTTTGCCCTTCCCAGGTAGCATAGAATAGTGCTAGGAAATAGGAAGAGGGAAAAGGAAAACTCACAAATAAATAGACATCAAACAGTACTAAAGGAGCCACAAAATCTCACGGGCTTCCCGGAGTTGCCCGACTGACTTCCTATCAGTGTGAACAAGAAGGTGATGCCCTGAGAAACTGCCCCCGCAAAGTCTTTGCTCACCCCTGCCACTGCTTTTTGTGCCCTCGCAAACAGCACCAAGGTATCATCAGCCAGCCTGGAACTTCTTGTTTATCCAAAATAAGGCAAGACAGACATGCTCTGGAGATCTGTTTACAAGTCAGGCTATCTCCAGTTATATAATGACACAAGCCTCGCTGCCAGCAAATTGTTGCTGTGAGCAGGGGAAGACAATTAGATCGCCTCTCTGGGCAGCGAGCGCGGACAATGCAGGCTTTGTGCCACCCGGCCACCAGCCCCGGCATCTGCGGCATGCCTTCAGAGGAAGAGGTGGCCCGGGGAGGGCTTGGGGCGCCGGAGCCGGGCTGAGAGCACCTTCCTGTCCTGGCAACGAGGGGAGGACGGTAATGGGTCGTCGCGCCGCAGGGCAGAGCGGCTCTGACCCCTCGGCTGCACACGGGATGGGAAGCTTCGGTGTTTGGCTTCCTGTGCTTCCTGGTGTGCTGATGGATTTAGGCACTCGCTGAAGCTCCTGGCGCTGCTTGCGGATTCAGTGGAAAAAATGTGGTATCAAGAGATGGGAAATACCAAAGCCTCTCAGAAATGCACTCACTTAAAAGGGAAAGGTGGTTTCCGGGTGAAACTGCATTCCTGTCCTCCATGGATGGAGAAGGGAGGAGGGCTTTGGAAAAGCCAGGAGTGCTGTAATGAAAGCTGTGATGAACGATAGCTGGTCTCTCTCAGAAATGGGCCACAACCTGCTTTTGGTTGGAGCCTGGGTAATCTGATATTGTCAACAGCCATAGATTAGCTCAATGAAATTGTCTGCAGGAGGTTAGGGGAAGAGTGAGTGACTGCTTTCTGCCTGCTGCATAAGGGCACAAATAGCTGCATTTGTGGGGAAGTGTTGGCAAACATCAGTGAACAATCAGCATTGGAGGAGCTGATGGCCCAAGGGTACAGGAAATTTCTGCTGGTGCTCGCTGGGACAAGGCTGCCTGGGCTGGCCACTGTCACTCCATCCTCTGCACAGCTGCCCATTGGCTTCATGACAAAAAGACCATTTAATTAAATATACTGTTACTCGAAATTAGTTGGGCTGCCAGTCTGCTTGCCTGGGAACATGTGCCTCATAGGTTCATGTTCTATTGAGAACACAGTGGCACTTATTGCAAAAGCTGTGTGTAAAACCACACTGCTGGCAAACTGATAAATTCTCCAGCTGCTGAGTTCTGTCAGTGTTAGAAAGCATACCTCACCTGCTTGCCCATTGGACAGTATGTTGAACCAGTCAACCTCCAGTCCACCCACATGACAAGAAAAATTCACCTTTTGTAATGGCAACCACATACCTGTCTAAGGCACAATACTCCTCTCAGCCCAGCAGAAATAGTTCCTTCTGGAAATGAGTCATTTTTCTTTATCTTTCAAACCACTTCAAGCAATTTGTCTTGCAGACTTTCTGACTACATTTACATAAAATGCATCCTTCCTTTCTTTCTATTCCTGGTTGCATGCACAAGGTTATTTTGGATGGCGTGCTAGGAGGTCACAGTGACACACAGCCAGAAGTGAGCACGCCATGCTTCCAATGGGTACTCAGCAAGACTTAGGCAGGTGGCAATTTCCTAGTTTCTCTGGGCACTTGCAATGTAAGCCCCTCACATGAAACACAATGAGAAAAAAGGGATAAGATGCTGGCTGCAGCCAAAGCCTTCACAAGTTTGCCTACAAAAAGCAGGTTGTAGACATGAATAACCTCACAAGACCCTGGAAATGAAGCTGGGAGTATGGGTTAGCAGCAAAGTTAGGGAGGTGCAAGGGAAGATGGGAAAGTGAAGAGGCTTCCAAGAATGGCTTGTGAGAGTACGGCATGGTTAGGAACAGTTCCTCCCTGAGACTGGAGTGCAGGCTATTATTTATATCCCCATAACTCTGTCAAAGCGTGATGCTCGCAGCTTTAGAGCTGGAACTTGGGCTCTAAGCAAGCTGGAGGCTTTCATTCATGACTACAGGATGCAACAAGACACACTGGAGTCTGAGGGTAAGGCCATAGACAAAAATAGCACAAGTCCTTCACAAGATCTGCCCTGCAGCTCAGTTTCTTACCAAGTAGAACAGGTATCTTCAAGGTACAGAAGAAATGACTGGGTGGTACATGAGAGAGGCCTCTGGGCTTGTAAGGTATGGAGCAGGATCGAACAGGTTGTGCTGATTCTTCCTGTGCAAAAATGGGCAGCATTATTAAAGCTAGAAGGACTCAAGCTAAAAATCCAACAAAGGGAGATAGCCCTTAGTACAACAGGTAGAAGAGCTATGGGTCTCTTACCAAGAGATGTGGTGGATATGAGACACTTATACAGATTCAAGAAGAGTGCATTGTAAAGAAACATACTGAGAGTTACTAAAAACACAGAAACCATATCTGGCTCAGGAAGTTCCTGAGCTGAAAATAGTTAGAGGCTGGGGAAGCAGTGAGGGGAAGTACTGTACACATTTGCCGTTGTTCTCACTCCTCCCTAGGCTTTGACTTGTGAGCTCTGTTGGGGGCTTGATGTTAGATTAGATAATGCCAAGGTTTGTACCAGTTTGAAGGCCATGGAACACAATGTCAATCTTGGCTGGACTGTCCTACCACACTCACTGTACAGCCCAGATTTGGCACCTTCTGTCTTTCATCTGTTTGGGCTGATGAATGATGGACTGTGTGGGCAACACTTTCCTATCAACAATGCCATCATAGCAGCTATAAAACAGTGGGACACCTCCACTGGTGTAGATTTTTACAAGCACGCAGATAATTGTTCATCACAGGCAAAAATGCATAGCTAATGGTGGTGACTATGCTGAAAAATAGTGTGCTGTAGCGCTGAGAATTTGCTCTATCAAACACTGTTACTGTGCTCTTTGTATCTGTGGTAGTTCCCACGGAAATAAACAGGAGGCATCACTTTCAGAGAGATCTATGCACATAATTCCCAAGTAGTCCATTACTTTACTCACTTGATATCATCAAGTGTTTGGCAATAATATTGGTTCTGTACATCGCTACTTCTCTTGCATTCTTGTCCTACTTGTTCCCACTCCAGCAGACCATGCTGAAACTGTTGCAAACCCAGATGGCAGCATTAAATTATAATTCTACTCTGGTCACCAGTTTGCCCATTTAGTTTCTGAATACTTACGGGCACCTGGGCAAGAAAATACTGAAGCAGCTAATACAGCACATCTCAGATGAACTGCTTCAGCTTCTGTAATGCAATAGAAAGTACAGCAGTGACAGCAAAGCAGCAAAGTCCTAGGCTGCAGCAAGTGAGGACTTGGTCTAACACAACAACTATAGGCATATAAACAAAGAAATGAAGCTGCTTACCTTCGGAACCCTTCAAGGAGGCACTGCCAACCCTTAAGCGAAGTCTGGGAAGGGGCTGATCCTGGCTCCACTCCTTCCAGTCACTCAGGTGTATTGCATACACATGAGTTCCCCTGATTTGGTACTGCCTTCCCACCAGGTGCTCAATCACTGGTTCACGCTATGACTTAGCATTTCCACTACAGCTTCTCAGCAAACTCAGGCACACAGGACTTTGTTCTTTCCACCTGGAATCTGTTTTAAAAGGTTTATTTGTAGTTTCAACAGTTTGAGCCATTCTCAGCTCTCTCTTCCCTGGAAAACGGCACTTAATGATGAGTCTACAAATTACAGCTGAGTGGCTTTGTTAGCCTTCTCTTCATATCCTTCCAGCTGGTCCTTTGAGGCCTCCTGTCCTGGGTTTCCTACTCTGGTTCTGAGAAACTGGTGAGAATCAGGACCTATCAGGATGCTAGGGCCCCTGAGAGATAATTTGGGAAAAAAAACCCCACATTATTTGTAGCTCTCTCCAAGCAGTCAGAGAGCAAAGCAGGCATGGCTACACCAGGAGCTACCTTATGAGAATCCATCAGTTGAAAACTTGGGGTACTTCATAACAAGCCATCTGTTATGGAACAAAACAACCAGCTTGGCCAATGCTCATAGCCCTTTGGGGTTGGCAGTCTCTGATTATCAGCATGTTTACAGTACCAGAGGCATTACTTGATGCAAAATGATTGCTCTCACTTTGCTATCCCTTTTGTCACATCAACTGGAGATCCCACTGAGGAAGATACAAAATTAGCCAAGCGCCACCCGGAGACATATCAAAGTGGACTGTGTCGCGACGGGTGGAGTGGGATTTTTGCCTCCAGTGACATTCACATTATTCACACTCTTTTTACATTTTGCTGCTGCTCACATAATCACAGAAGCTATTCTTAGCCACAGGGAGCTTAATCTTATAAAAAAAAAAAAAGAAAAGAAAAAGAAAAAACACACACACACAAAAAACCAACCAGACACACACACACACACAAAAACCAAAACACCCCTGTGAACCATTTCTAAAACAATAACTTGTGGCAGGGAGGGAAAAGGGTTGGCCTAAACATGTATCCCTCTTCACCAAATAAGGACCCTTGTAAATGTGACTCCAAGTGCTACAAGGCTTAGGAAATACTGGGAGGGCTTTGGAGTGCAAGAGTGAATCAGCATGGCCATCACGTCACACCCTCATGAATAATACCTCTTACTTCCCTTGAATTGTGCATTGTGATAAAGACCTAGCTGCCTTTTTTGGTATTCTAGTGTCTGCCCAAGAAGAGTCAGATATGAAATTAGGTTTCCTGCACCTTAATAGATTAATTTAGTTTGAACTAAAAACGAGGGCACATACACTGTCGGGAGCCAAGAAGCCTCAAAAGACATACGTCTCCTTTCTTTCCTCCTTCTTTTGTGCTTTGCTGTTTAAATGTCAATTTAAACTGATTTTCTCCAAATTTTATTACTGTGACAGCTTCATTTGGGAAGATAAGGCATGCTAAGTGGAGGACATCTAATGATTTTGCATTTCAGCAAGGCCAGACCCTGCAAAGTAAAGCACATCAGCTTCACTGATGTTTAACACTACAAGCAACCCTGCTGGTTTTGCTCCATATAATGCAGCAAGCGCATGCCAAACCAAAAGTGATATCCACATTGCCATCTGCTTTTGTTCTTAGGACCCCATGGAGGTGCTTCTGTGGCACTAGAGAAGTACTAACTCCTTTTGTTGCTCTTGAAGTTTTCTGTTTTAAGAGCTGTGCTTGTCCAGAATTCACTAGTTCTACTGAACGTCTTCTGACCATGGGAAGGAGAACACCCTGCTATTATTATTTCAGTGCACCTCATGGCAGAAAAGAGGTAAATTGCATCATCTTATTTAGTGCTGGATATTACAGCAGAGATCATGTGTGACAACAGAGGCAAGGAGAGAACAGTGCTTCCAGTGGAACTGCACACACATTGCAAATTCCTCGTATGGCAATGTTTCCTTTTCCATCAGAGACCCATAACACGTTTCCCTCTCACACAGAGGACACAGACAGGAATTTCCATGGTGACTGTCAAGACAGCATCCTTATCTAAGAGGAACTTAAGATAAAACTTTCTGTGGAAAAAGTCTGTGACCTGGTGAAGGTTGCTAAGTGTTTGAGACAGCCCTGCCTGAACTTTCTGAAACTTCCAAGCCCTGTGTTGTTATAAGAAGCCTTTGCATTTTTACCACTAGATTAGCACTGCCTCTTTAGTGCTACAGATATAAGGCTGGCAGGAGACTGCTGTGCCCAGCTGAAAATGAAAATGTATTGCTGCTCATTTAATTCAGAGGATGTCAACACGAGATTTTAGAACAGGACATAAAGAGAAAAAAACGGGGAAGAAAGGTAATAGGGACACTGAGGACAGAGAAAAGGGGCTGTGTCAAAATCTTTCTCAGATCCGGATGTCTTATTGTCTTCCTATCTTTAAAACCATCAGTTCTAGAAAACTGTGATAGATTTGGTGTAGAACTTTGATTCATGGAGTTTCCACATCTTGAAGGGAACAGAAATCAATATTTGTGACATTCTGATGACTTCAAGGCTTGTCACCAATTTTTCTACCATCTCCTTCTTCACCTGCAAATCCCTACCACATTTAGTAGCTCAGTGGTATGTTTGGCAGCTGACAGAAGGATATTTTCTTGCTAAGCAGAGTCTTGAAATCCTACAAATTTAACACAAAGCTTGTTTATCTTGCCAGCTCTGTATCTGGGAGGTGGCACTAGCTAATTCATCAGGCCTCATGGCACAGGTTTATCATAGAATCACAGGACCATTTTGAACTGGAACGGACCCTTAAAGGCCATCTGGTCCAATTCCTCTGCAACTGGAATTGCAGGGAACACATTCACTAGATCAGGTGCTTAGATCCCCATGCTGCCTGACCTTGGATGTCTCCAGGGATGGGGCATTTACCACCTCTCTGGGAAACCTGTTCCAGTGCCTTACCAGTACCTTTTGTTGTTGGTTATGGTCTTTTATGACTGGAAACTGCAGTCATAAAAAGCTTCCAATAAGCTGCACATGTTATGATCAGCAGCAACAATCGCCTAGCGCCATAGGTAAGGGCTATGCAAGCAAATGGCAAGGCACTCACTGAAGAAGCATCTGGAATCTTCTTAGGGCCATGTCATACATTTATGTCATGACACTTTCTCCTCGGAGACGGTAAACTCAAAATTGTGGTTTGCAGTAAAACGTGATTTTATGCTGCTATGAAATACACCATCACACTGTATCAACTCACGGCTTCGGCCAGTTATCTCAGAAGATAAAAAGTCCCAGCACTTGTGCTGTGTGTGGCTTTGGCTGCCTTGGTTATCTCCCCCGGTTTCTTTGCTGGAGTCCAAGACATTTCTGCGGTCACCCACAGGCTGCGGTGCTAAGACCCTGGGGAAGAAGTCCCTGCACTTCTAGGGTCCCTGTACTTCTAGGGTCCCTGCACTTCCAGTATAGTGTGGGGCACAGCAGGACCATCTCCCTGGTGCTACTGGAAGGAGCTGAGCTTCCAGCCCTCTTGTCCTCTTTTTTTCTTAAAGAGGAATTTCAAGGAACTGTGACAGGAACACCCTGGAATTTCCTAGTGATTGCTGATAGCAGATGAAAGCCACTGAAGAACAGCATCAATGATTATGATGATTAATTTTTCTTTCCATATGAATGCTACTGAAGGAGGAGTGCTTGTGTGCCTTGAGAGAGCAACATTCCTCTGTCTTGCTCATCTGCCCATCTCACAGACCTTTCCTTTTCTTTTTTTTTAAATCCAAAAATGGCTCATAAGAAAATAAGTCCTCCTGGCCTCACAGCTTGTGTCACTATTCTAAGTCTATCCTCTGAAGGCTGGTCAAAGTTAAACCGACAGTTTTTCAGGTCTTTTCCCTCCCCTTTATTCCCTTCCCTGCCCCCCCCCCGCCCCCCCCCCCCTCCCCGTCTCTAAGGGGACCCCATTTTAATTATTATTTAGGAAAAGACAGCTGCTTCCTGTTTGTATCATTAATTTATTTTGTTTCCTGAAGGGAAGCTTTGGTGAAAAGAATCTGTGGATAGCTGGAACGTCTCACAAAATATCACTGGCTGCATGGGCCAAGGTTAAATACAATAGCTAGGTTTATTTTTAAATGATTATTCTTTTTCTTAGTTCATGCCAAAGCAGAGTCTAGAATTCTAGCACATGTAACTAAGCTTTTACAGCAAATTCTGCCTTACATACATAAGTCCCCAGAAGGGAGACAGGCATTCTTAGTTACAACAAAAGCTCAAACACAAATTTCCCCCAAACTATTATGAAAACCAAGGCCAGAGAGAGATGAGGTGTGGCTCCCTTTCTCTGATTTCTCAAAACCTTACTCTCTGGAAAACTTGATATGCTAAAATCAGACCTGACCATCATGATAGCCTTCCACGATGAGATGACTGCCTTGGTGCATGAGAGGATAGCAGAGGATGTTGTTTATGCCATTTTTAACAAGGCTTTCAGCGCTGTCTGCCATAACATCCTCATAGATGAACTGATGAAATATAGATGGCATAAATGAATAGTGAGGTGGCTCGAAAGTTAGCTGAACTACTGAGCTCAAATGGTTGTGATCAGCAGCATGAAGCCCATCTGGAGACCATTCACTATTGGTGCACTCCAGGAGTTAATACTGGGGCCAGCTGTGTTTGACATCTTCATTAAGATCACTTGGATGATGGGTATGAGGACACCCTCAGCAAGTTTGCTTGTGATGCAACACTGGGAGGAAAAGTTAAAAGAGCAGATGGCTGTGGTTCCAACTCAAAGGGACCTTAGCGTATGGAGATATGGGTCAAATCCATACATCAAACCTCAGAAAGTTCAAAGGGCAATGGAATGGGAAGGAATAAATCCAGAGCACCACTATGAGCTGGGAGCCAATTGGCTGACTACAGAGCTGCTTTACAGAAAAAGGGTTCCTGGTGGGCAATGAACTGACTGTGAGCCAGCAATATTGTCTTTATGGCAAAGAAGGCCAATAGCATCCTGGGCTATTAGGAAGGATTGAGGGAGGTGATCCTACCCCTGTCCTCAGCATTGGAGATCTAGATCCAGTTCTGGTTGCCTCAATACGTAACATAGATGTGCTGGAATGAGTTCAGCAAAGACTCAGAAAGATGATTAAGGGATCGCAGTTATCTGTCATGTGAGGAAGAGGATGACAGCTGAGGCTGTTCATCCCGGAGAAGAAAAGGCTTAGGGATGATCTTATATGTCAGTACCTTACTGGAGAAGGAAAGATTGAGTCAGGCTCTTTCCAGTGACGTCCAGTGACAGGGTGGCAGGTGATGGGCATAACTGGAAGGAAGAGAAATTCCATTTAAATACTAAAGAATCTTTTCCTTTATTTATTTATTTATTTATTTACTGTGAGGATGGTTGAACTCTGAACTCTGACACAGGTTGCACAGAAAGGTGTGGAATCTCCATTCTTGGAGATATTCGAAACCCAACTGGACATGATCCTGCACAATTTGATCTGGCTTGAGTGGAGAAGTTATAATATATGATCTCATGAAGTGCCTTCCAGCCTCACCTGTTCTGACTGTGACAAGAGATCCAGGAGCAAACGAGGTGCAAACCTCTTCCAGGTCAGTCTCAGACATAAGTCATATGGCCAATGACATCCATGAACTACATGAGGAGCTGTGAGCTTCACCTCACGCAGAGGTCTTTTGGAGAACTTTAGAGAGCTCTTAAGACACACCATTCCCAAGCCCTGAGCAACCACTCCACTCAGCTTCCATTCAACATCTTGCATTTTGTCTGTCTTATCCTTCCCATTCATTTCAGCAGAGAGGCACCCACTGGCCCTGGCAGCCTCACTGCTGTCCGGCATTCCTGCTGCAAGGAGTTATTTGGCACCAGCACTACTGACCTTTTCACAAGACCAAAGAT